AGACCTCCCTCATCCTTGGCCCTATCTCAGAGAATTTTTAGAAATAGTCGAAAAACTGAGCTTTAAATTCATATAGAGGCATCTGGCTGTTTTTTTAAAGGTTACTTTATACGTTTATACTTTAAGTAGTTTTTGGAGCACATACTTTTTCACTTTTACTTGAGTAAAGAGGTCGAGTTGATACTTCAACTTTTACCAGAGTGTTTTTAAACTGTAGTATCTATACTTCTACCTAAGTAATAAAAGTGCATACTTATGCCACCGCTGCTCCGTACATAGATGTTATATGTTCACTAGTACTAAGCTAACTGCTGCTAAGAAACCGTGAAGAAGCTAAACTTCTTTTGCTGCTATTGGAAACTTTTAAAGCAGCATAGTGTTTTCCTCCTCCATCCAGTTTCCAGCATCGCTTTATTGGATTCAAAAAGCTAAAATCACCTCCTGAACTTATAAAAGACGTCTACATATCTCTTCTAAGGAGCTAATATAAAGACAGGTATGTTGAAGAGGAGATAAGCCCAGAAGTTTAAGAACTTGTTCCTGAGGACTTCAGACAAGCGTGATTTTATTAAGCTTTGATTAAACTTTAATGCAAAATTCCTTCAAGTTGTTGTAGCTTTAGCTTCATTAGCTACCGAAGCTACTATAAAGAATCAATCTATTTCTATATCTGCACACCGTCATGCATCAGAGTCACAGAATGTCAGCAAAAACATGTGAAGAACTCAAGGCATGGATGTTTCCTATGGGTAGAGTTGCTCCTAAAATAAGCTCCTGCAGCTGCGGCTGAAGTTCTGCCCTGAGGATGACAGAGAAAACTAACAGCAAAGAAATGGAGAGAAGAGAGTGTAAACTGAGATAGTTGGACATGTCCATGATAACAGTGAATGATCCATAAGGGGGGTGCTGGAGCCGAGGCGGGTCCAGAAATCATTCATAGAGGTGGTTAGGCAGGGACCAATGCACACTGAGGAGCTTTTGGAAAAAGAGGCTCATTAAGGGAGAGACTGACTTCCTAAGCCTTGAGCAGAAGCAGCTTAGTTGACTTCTAGAGGCCGTTACTCAGTAATCTGATGCAGTTTTCACTGATGGCTAAAGTGTATGGAGTGAATTATGTTCCATTATTGTTGCAAGCAAAGATTGTCAATCCTATCCAACTAATCCATCAGGGTCACAGTGGGCCTGTGTCTATCTCCAGCAGGCTATGGGTGAAAGGCGGGGTTCACCCTGACAGGTATCCAGTCCATAACAGGGACCACAAAGACACATAACCACACACTCACAGTCATGTTTTTGGTATGTTGAAGGAAGCCAGAATACCTGGGGACAACCTACCTATGCCTGCAGAGAACATACAAACCCCATGCCGACAGCCCCCAGGTTAGGAATTGATTGCATTCTTCTTTTAGCAAATCAACAGTGCTACAAACAGCACCACTGTGCAAACCACAGACAGAAATAATGTTCTGTAAATGGAATTATGAAAAAGGAAAACAAAAGGTTTCACATGTTGGAAATTCAAAAGAAAATGCAACCCAGAAATAAAACTGTAAAAGAAGCTTCTTAACCCTTTATAGGTTACAGTTTTTGATCACTTGCATACCCCTTACAAATACCCCCCCCCCTCCCTTAGTGAGGTCTAGAAGCAAAAGCTTCTAAGATACTGCTACATGGCTGGGCATCTTATTTTGGCATTTGACCAGTTAGATGATCCCTTGAATGATATATTACCTACTGGAAATTAAGTTGGGAAAAGTTAACAAGTCTAGAAAAGAAGGTAAAAAGCTAATTGATGTTAAAAAATAAAGTTAATAAGCCTAGGGAGCAATTACTGTATATTTAGGTTTATATCAGCATTAATGCCTTTATGATTAGTGGACTAAAAAAAATGTGTTTTTCATTAATTTCTTCTAGAAGCACTTTTGTTATTTTTCTTTTCTTTT